ATTCTTGGGACATTTGCTTGTGCCTTTTACAGAACAGGAGGGCTATTTGTTGCTGATGGGGTGAGGAGCTGAGAGTGCAGAGGAAATAAGGGCAGAGATGTTCCTGTGCTCCTACAAGTCCCCAGTGGGTCGGCAGTGCTGCCCTCAGGCCGGTGGGTTCAGCATCTCCAGAGGACAGCTTGTAGACCAGGGTGCGTTCTCAGGTCAGTGGTTCAAATGGGAGGACAGGATAAACTCTGAAAAGAACTGTGAGACGTGTGGTTCTGAGCCTTGCGGATTATTACCACCCTTTCCCCTCTGTTTGACAGGGACTCAAATGTCCCTGACATTTTGCATGGTGTCCTGGATTTGAATTAGCCTGCAAATCATCTCCTGGCTTAGCATGGGTTGGGGCCAACACCATGAACGGGTGTTGGCTCTCTCCCAAAGTTTCTTAAACCTTCCAGACAATAAAGCCTGAGTTCCAGCTCCATCATAAAAATTTATTGCCTGACGCAGCTCTTGTTGCACTGTGAGTACGACAGCCTCATTTTATACGTGGACCCATTTGTGACCTTTTTTGTCATTTTATTTTTTCTTCTCATGTCTAACATTCTTTCTTCCTTTAGTTTAATCTCTGATTTTATATCAACAACAACTCATGCAAGAGGCTGTGCAGGCTTCCTTTGCTCCGGCAGCGCTGCTGTTAGGGTCATAATGCAACAATTCGGTCTAATGGTTATTATTTTGCAGGCTGACTTCAATAATGCACTTTTAAATCAAAGGGCCCTTTGAAGCTTTATTTCTATTGTATTAGACGGATAAACACAGAAGATTTTCACAAACATGAAAGGCATTCACCTTGTAATGTTTTGGGGCTTATTAGTCTCACCAATTTGCATTGTTTTGTTCACATAAAGGATCAAAATGCCCCTTTGCTTGTTTTCGCATCCTGCACGCCCATCTTTGTGCTGAGCAGCTCCGGATGCCCCGCGCTGCTGCTGCCTCTCTGCCTACTGACTCACTGCTGTCTGTCTGCAGCCTGAATCCTGCCTTCAGACGCCCACCAGAAGAACCCACTATTTTCACCACTGCAGAATGTTTGCTCGCCTCTTGGAAACGCTGATTTATTTCAGTGTTGTCTGTGCAAAACATGGGAGGGCGTTCAAGCTCGTGAGCAGTTTAATTTTTAGCGTACCAAACAATTCATTTAAAATCTTAAATGAGTTCATGCTGAGAAGAAAACCCTCAGAAGTCGGAGCATTGGCAAAACAAAGCTCGGAACCAAATCTAATGATTATTTGACTAACCAGCCCTTCGTTAGCTTATTTCTCTAATGAATTATTGAGCTGTACTGGGTAGACATTCCAGAATACATTGCAAAAGCACAGTGCTGGCCTTAGACTGTGGAAATATAATAGTAAGAGTGATATAATAATAATAATAATAATGTTAATAAGCACACAGAACGCCGCATAAACACTAATTAATCCTCAGCGCCCCTGAGCAGCAAAGCACAGGATGCTCAGCACATGTAGCAAATTGAGGTAAACAGTATAATTAACAGCAAATAAAAGATGCTCTTATTCTGACCACAGCTCACAGCCCCTGTGGCTGCTCTCCTCTGCGTTCACCTGCAATGGACAAATTAGAACTGGTTCCCAACCAAGTTTGGAATAGGAGCAGTGAGTACAAACAGCTGAAAGCAATATTAGGAAAGGGAATGGTTCTTTAAATCAGCAAAGCTAACAACTGAGGGAAGTTATCTACGTGACGGTAGAAGCTGCCTTGTGTACGGCAGCAATGCTGTCAGCAGCAATTCCTACCTCGGGGGGTTTCCTGGCTGCTCTCAGCCCATGTGGTGCTGCTGCTGTGGACCCCCAGGCACTGGGGTAGGAATGTGCCAAGGAGACAGAGCAGGACACCAGGAGCTGTGCTTTTTTGGCACGCTTTAGGGAGAGGGAACGGTTTTGCTCTGTCAGCCCCACCCATCGCGCGCACACTGCGTGGTTTCTAATAGCTGTCACAGCTCTGAGCATCCAGCAATGGGTGTTATTTTTAGAGAAGCTTTCATTTTATCCGATTCTCTTCCAGCGTAGGTGAGCAGTCCTTGCACAAAGGTGGATGCGGATGAGGAAAGGAGTGTTGCATCATGATTGTGCCTCCTGGAAGGACTGGGTGAGATAGGAGTACCTGGCTCCCTGCTATGCCCATGTGGGCTAAAGAAGCTGTGTGGACAGGGAGAGAAGGTCTATGAAAAGAGTAAACTGGAAGTGAAAGGCTCAAAGATTGAGCGCAATGTTCGGGCAAGTCAAAGTTCTGTTACTGCCACAGTGTGGGTCTGTTAATAAAAGCCTGAACTCCAGAGTGCTGGGCAGCCTGTCTTTCAACAGCTACTGCTGCAAGAGTTTCTGATGCAGGCAGGTTGTTCCTTGAAGTCAGTATCCTTTTCCACACCATATCCTAGTCCACACCTACTGATGTGTTGACAGTCAGACCTGATGATCTTAGTGGTCTTTTCCAGCCTTAATGGTCCTATGATTCTGTGTTTGTCTCTCGTGTAAGAAGAGCTTTTTTCTCTTCCATGGTGTGACACAATTTGATAAAATGCTGCTGCTTGTTTTCACAGCTGTCCTTTCTATGAATGTCTCCAGAAAAGAAGATGAGTTTGCAGTAATTCTCAGCAGTTCAGTGACAAGTCAGATGGCCAAGAAGTCGCTTATGGTGTGGTTCAACAGGAGGTAAAGAGTGAAATCTGGTGAGTTGTTTCTGCCTTTACCCCTTGTGGCTGAAGAGCAAAGCTCAGGGAAATGAATCTTAAATGTTCTGGCACTTAGACCAGTAAAAAGAGCCTGGCAACAGTTATCGTGTAAGTAACAAGATTTTAAAGCAAATATTGTAGATGTTAATAGCTCTGAAAAATTCTGTTACATCTGGTTCTCTTACAGCCTTCATAATAGGGATTGAGACCTCCTGCAGCCTTTCCCATGGGTTTCCTGAGCCTCCTTGGAATTGCTGCTTCTGAAAAAGCTTTTCTTTTTGATATTGCAAGACTCAGTTTGGGCTCAAAAGTTGTTTCACAGAGAGCTGTTCCCAGACTCCACCTTTTTTTTGTCCCCCAAGTGCTCTTCAGCTGATAGGAGCATGCTTTGATGGGCAGGTTTCACAGCTGTGGTTTCTCATTTACCTTCATGCAGCAGATGTGTGTGCTGCTATGGGCTGGTAAGGCAAGGACTTTGGCAGCTCTCTGTTGGGGATGATTATGGTGTGCTGGAGGTTAAGTGTGGGGAAGTTGTTTCCTGCCTAGAGCTGGATTATTTTTGTACCACAGAGTAGTTTTCAAAAAGTCTTTACTAAGCAAAGTGCGTTGCTAAGGCTTTTACTGGTAAAAACAAAGCAAGTAAAAATGCTTTGCTCAGATTTCTACTGGTATCACTAGATGAAATACTTTCCTCAGTTTTATACTGCAAGAAAACATACGTTGATTAACAAAATTAATTACTTGATTAATTAAAACCTACAATATATTCTACCGGAGAGTAATAGAGAACAACAGTTTCAGGGACTGAGTGCTGGTCAGAATAAGACTGGGGAGTAAATGTCCCATCCATGACTCCTAGGCCTTGAGATCTTCTGTATTTGCTGCCCAGTGCACCTTAATGCCAGCTGCACATTCTGCAGTGCCCTCCCCTGGCTGCCAGAAGCACCTGTCCAAGTGACAGTTGTCTCAAAGCCTTTGTCCCTTCTTCGTGTCTTTGGCTGTCAGGTGTCACTGCAGGCCAATCCCTTCAGCATTGGCTCCAAAGTACTGCACCTCCAGGGCTCCCCTGCAGGGAGAAGAGACCCATAACTGCAGCTGGAAGCATGGAGAAGGGATGTGGCAGAGGGCTGGGATGTGGGTATGCCACCATCAGCGCCATCCCGTCAGCATGGGACACACTGCACAGTTTGGCATTTGGTGGGGTATAACGTGACGTGGGATTGCACTGAGAAGGTGGGCAGCAGAGTTTGCTTTAAGGTAAATTACTGCTGACTCTGTGTGTGTGAAAGCATCTCTGTGCTAGAGAACTGCACTGGTTGGGTGCAAGTCTCTTTACATCCCTATGAGCTGGCTTACTGGGAAGGAAACCTTCTTGCAGAGAAACACTGAGAAAAGTTGTGTAGAATGCTAAAACATAAAAATTTATCACTACTATTCCTCAAAAATTTCTCAAATCTTATTTCACTTGACCAGATAGAAGTAATCAAGATTGAGTCTTAATAAAATGTTTAGGAGAATGAATTGTGATGACAAGTCAGACCAACCAACCCTTACAATTATATTGTAACCCTAACTATCAAACTCTTCTGCTTTATGTATCATCTAAAAACGTATTTACTATCATGCTTTTCTACAATAAGGCAGATTTAGCATGGTGGGAGGGGGAAGACACTGCCTCTGTGCTGGTGGGTTTCTCTGCTTTCACATGCAAGCACGGTGCTCTGATTGTGCTGTTTGCCCCACATCCTTCACAGGGAGGTCTTCAGGTGAGGACAATCTTACCCCAGCTCCACTTCCAACCACAGATACAGGAGGGCTGACACAGGTTGTGCAGAGAGGCGGTGATGCCCCGCACCTGCAGACACCCGAGGGCAGGGGATGAGATGAGAGCACTGATGGAGCCCTGGGTGCCTCCGTTCATGGAGAGGGACCCAACGGCCTTTCAAGATCCCTTCCATCTCAAACGATTCTACGGTACCGCCGCTCCCAATCAATCTTAGAGGATACAGAGAAAAAGAACTAACGTAAAAGGTCGGGATTCGAAAAGCTGTGCTTTGCTTTTACGCCGTATGGCAGAGCTCCGCCGCGCCGGGCAGCACCGGGACCAACCGCACCGACCGCAGGCAGCCCGGCGGGGCCGAGCGAGGCCGCAGTGCCACCCAGGGGGCGAGGGCTGCACTTCAGCCGCTGTGCCCGCGCAGCTCCAGCCGCGGAGCCGGGGGATGGGAGCGATCGGGAGCCGTGCGGCCGCGGGGCTCACCTTGAGGATGCGCGGGTTGCGCAGCATGCTGTCCCGGGCCACCCCCAGCCGCTCGTTCTCGCTGCCCGCTGCCACCTCCGCCAGGCTCAGGGGGCGCCGAGGGGGCCCCGCCATGCCGAGACCGCTGTTGCGGGGGCAACGGGTGAAAGAAAGGGGCAAGAAAAGAGCAGAAAGGGACGGGTTACGGCCCCGCTGCGCTGCGGGCTCTCGGGGCGGACAGGCACTGAGGGTGTGCGGGGGGTGGGGGGGCAAAACGGCGTCGCCCCGTCTCCTAGCAACCGCCACGCTGTGGGTGCGCGGCTGTGATGGTTCCGGGTGGGAACACTTCCGCCTGGCGGGGCGGAACGGGAAAAGCGAGCGGAACGGGAAGAGCGGCGCCGGGGCGCTGTGCGGAGGGACGAAGGGTGAACGCGTGAGCGGCGGTGCGGTGCCGTGCTGCGTGGTGCGGTGCCGCGTTGTGCTGAGCGGAGCGGTGCCGGCCTGCGGTAACGGCGCGGTGCTCAGGAGGTGCGGAGGGACGGGCTGCAGTGCTGGGCTGCGGGTTGGGCCGTTTTGCGCGTAGTTTTTCCTGATTAAACGTTCGAGCTTTCGGGTGTTGGCGTAGAGCTGCCGGTACCGGCACAGCCGCTCACAGAATCGAAGCGTGGTCGGGAGGCTCTGAGCAGAAAACTCAATGCCTCAGTGCTGTAGTACTGTTAGACTGTCGGTGTGTCGTGCTGAGCGTAGCAGCGTTATTACGGAGTTGTTCCCAGGCACCTTAGTGCTGACGTTGTGTCTGTTGTTGCAGGCGGCGTTCCCGAAGCTGGGATGCACGGTGTGTGTGATGAGGGCGGCAGCGTTTCCACGCACTCACTTTGCAAAGTTTGCTCTCCTGCCAAGCAAGCATCTGCCCTGTCTGCTTCTCACCCAATGCTGAGTCGTTCTACAGCAGTTCTATAGGTTTTATCTATTTTATTATTATTTTTTTTTTTACTATATGAGAGTCTGGTACGGATGTAATGTTGAGCACGTGAGTAAAACTCTTACTTAACATAAGGAGAAAATATGAGAGAAAAAGCAAATGGTGATGATTTTCCCATTTGGGATTCTCACAAGAAGAAAAAGAGAAAACGCAAACGGTTCAGTGAGGACCACGAGAATGGAAGCATCCAGGATGCAGAGCTCAGCTGTGCTTCTACGCAGCTCTCTGAAGATCATGCAGGACAGAGCAATGAAGTCTCTAAAAAGAAGAAGAAAAAGAAAAAAAAGAGAGAGGAGCAGCAGCATCTGCTGGAGAATTCTCTTGCAGAACTGGAACGTGAAGTAGGTAGTGAAACTGTGGTGGATGCTTCCCGGAAGAAAAAGAAAAGAAGGAAGTGGAAGCTCAATGAGAGTATGGATAGTCACGGTGATGTAGCTTGTGTCCCTGTAAATCAGGATTGTGTTGATAGTTGTCAGGAGGATGATGCTGATAACGTGTGTTTTAAAAAGTCTGTTAAGAAGAAAAGAAAACGAAAATTGCCAGAAGAGGATGGGGTGAGTGAGTCACCTGCTTCAGAAACACATGGCAATAAAAGGCCGAAAAAGAAGAAGAGAAGAGCGAGCAGTACCCAGGATACACAGGAGGACAGCGATGCAGATGTTGACTTGTCACTTCTGACATGTCCAGGCCAAAAGAAGCAACGGGAGGGCATGGAGTCACCATCCACCACAGGTGAGGGTGGTGTGGCAGCGTCGCAGTGCAGAGGCAGCTCCTGTGGTGCTTCTGCTGTCAGTGAGGATCCTACAGACGAACCCGCTGGTTCCTCCAAACCTGCTGCAGGAGCTAAGAAGTCATCTAGATGGGCTGCAAAGGTTATAAAAAGCAGGACTTACATCACAGAAGACAGCTCTTCAGATTCTGACGCAATGTAAGTTTAGGGTGGTTTTTTTCCTACTCCACTTAAACAGGTTTATATAGCAGTATTTGAGTCTCAGATCTTTCTTCAGTCTTTATTGCGTGCATCTTTGAAAACAGCTTTAAAGCCTGAATGTTATGTTGAGATAATAGAATACTGCTTTTAGACCTTAGGTATTTCATGAATATAAACATAAGCAGTGAAAGTTTGTAAGAATATGTGACTATTTGCACTGATGTAGAATAAACAATAATAAAAATAACCTTAGAAGTATTTTTTGATAGTAAGAGCATTAATAACAGAGAAGTTCCGTGTTGCCACTGGTATTAAGAGCCACTGTTACTTATGTGTGTCTATGTGTAAGAGTTCTCTGAGAAAGCTGGGACTGATTTCAGAAACTGTTTGAATACTGTAAGCACTAAATGTCATAATGAATTATACCTGTATGAAAAGGCTTCTGCTGGAGTGGAGTGTATGGATCATAGAATCACAGAATGGCCAGGGTTGGAAGGAACCTCAAGGATCATGAATCTCCACCCCCCTGACACATGCAGGGCCACCAACCTCCACATTTAATACCAGACCAGGCTGCCAGGGCCCCATCCGTGGATGTCTGAAATAGTCCTTATTCTTTAATTAATGAATGTGTTTATCCTTTTAATTGTAGAATATCAAAGTCTCTGTTTTGGAGCTCTGCTGTTGGTGGGTTGGTTTGTTTGTTTTAATGCTGTTTAATTTTTTAATCAGGACACCTGAAACCACAACATCAAATAAAAAGGAGGACCAGAATAATTCGTTTACTGAAACCACGGCTACTGATGAGCTCAGTCTGGATGATGAAGAGTTCCTGCACATGGTTACAGTCTTGGATTTAGATACTGCAAGGCAAGAATTGGAGGAGTTTATTCCTCATGTGGGTCAACTGTCTGACCATTCAATCAGAAAAATGGCTGGAAGAGACTTACTGAGATTTAAACAGTTTAAAAGGCAAGGTGAGACCTCAAAAGAATGCTGCAGTGAAGAAGTGTGTAGCTGTGCTGATATTTTGACAGAGGGGAAATAGCTTTTGTGTCCTCTCACAGCTGTGCTCTTGTTGCAATTTATGTAATTCTAGTGAGCATGTTTTTGTTGCTCTGTTTTGTAGCATCCCCTATTTTATCAGCAAATTACAGTTCAGAATGTATGCTTAAATTACCTGCTCTCGTCTCCACTTTACTTTCTCTTCCGTATGCCGTTTTACCTCCTGAATTTGTTGATCTTCTGCTACATGTTTTCTATAACATCTTTGCTATCTTGAAGTATTCTCTACTTGGGGCTGTTTTATTTATTTTTCTAATAGAAATTTCTTTCCATTTTAGGTATTGCTATCAAGTTTGGCAGATTCACCCAGAAAGAAAATAATCAAATCAGGAGAAATGTTGAAGAGTTCTTATCAATTACTGGGATAGACAGTGCTGAAAAGCTCCTGTTTACCTCCAGGTATCCAGAAGAGAAAGAAGCCATCAATCGGCTCAAAGCAGAGCACCGTTTTTGTGAGAAGCTTGGTAAGCATTAAAGCTCTGTCTCAGGTATTTTGATGTTACTTTGCACAGACTGGTGATATCTCCTTTTTCTTTTCTTTTTAGTAAATTATTACTGAAAAGCACTCAAGTTGGTGATTTGGCAAAGAAAAGGAACACGTTGCTGAGGTTTTGTAGTTGATAATTGCACAGGGTGCTGTTCTTGTTATTTGTTCTAGGTCAGGAAGAAGTTAGAAATGAAAATTTTATCGTGACCAGCAGCTCTTACAAACTTACATTTGGGTTTTGTGGCTTAAGGTACATTATTTGCTAGGCTGTATCTAAGTTTAGTGACTTATCAATGGGAAGGAATGATTAAATGCTGTCTGAAATATTCAGCATCCAGTGATGTCATGAACAGGAAGGAGTAAAGTCATTAGCCAGGGGAGTTAGTATTCCAAAACGTGAGGAAAGCAAATAATATTCCAGCTCATGAGATTCTGTTTGCAAGAGGCACAATCTCTTCCCTCGTGACTTTTCATGGCTAGGAAACTTTCCTGCTTTGTATAGCAAATATATTCATTTTGTGATGTCCCTGGTGAAGCTGCTCGGTGCCCTTTCTCAGAGGCTCGTCGTGCTGTGTTCTCTACAGGCAAGGCAGAATAAATGATAGCCCTGGGATTGGATACTTTGGTTCTTCTTGAAGATTTCATGAACCTGATCTTTCCACCTGTGTTGTCACACTGGCATGGTGTTGACTTCTCATGTGAGACACCACTCCTGCTCTGGGAACGTGTGGCAGAAAGTGACATTGATGTGATGCCAAGTGCTGTTAGCAGTCTTAGCCGAGGTTGTTAGGTGTTCCTGGGTGCGTTCATTTCTGTGGATCTTTCTCCACTTCAAGGATCTTTCCTTCAGCCAGGATCTTCACTTTCTTTTCGCCGAGTGCCTCCTTTCCCTGATTTTCAGAGTTGAAATAGTCAGCATGCAAAAGTTCTTGGCCTCCTGATGGGTGGCTGCCTCGTGCCTTTCTATCAGTAGGACGATTCACTAAGCTACTTGCATGTGGTCCACATGTGATGCAAATTTACACCCAGTCCATCCAAACTGGAAGCTTTAGAGCAGCAGATTTAGCTTTAGAATTCAAAAGTTCAGTTTGGAATATTCACCTGCACACTCACAGAGTTATGTATTAGCTGTCACATGTGTAATCTTACCGTGCCTGTAACAGTTACATCTTTGGAACTCTTCAGGAGATTCTATCAACACTTTTCCTGTGCAGTTTCTGAAGTGTTGTAGAGTACTGTCTCTTGAATGGAGAGAATCTATGATTAAAAGCAGAGTCATAAAAATACTTCTTTTTAAAGTTGCTTCACCAGTGTAAAAATGCTTCTTCAAATTGAATTGTTTACCTTCCAGCTGAGGGCATACCTCGAGCCTGGAGACTTATATATTACCGAGCAAGGAAGATATTTGACCCCAATAATTACAAAGGGAGGTAAGCCAGTAATTTGAAAGAGTTTAAAAGAAGGTTGATGGCATTCTCTGATGTTTACTTCTTTGTTAAATGTGGATATAATTAAGATCATCCCACGTTTCTGCTGGTTCCTGTGACTTAATGGGCAATTCGTTTTTCTAACTAGTTGCTGTAAATCCCTCCAGTATAAAGCGTGACTTGAAATTGTGCTGAATCTCTCTCTTATGATATTGGAGGGGTTTGAATTTGCATGTGAAGCTG